AACTTCTTTTGGTGCGCCGATCGTATTTAAAGCCAGCCGAGACAGCGGGTAGATGAAGCAGACCGGAAGCGCAGAAGAGACGTAGCCCGAAGGCCGGTTCACACACATACCTGAGAACGACCGAGTGCGACTGCAACGGCTTGCGACGCTAATCCTTCTACAGGTTGCTACGGCAACGGGGTGATTATAAGCGGCTGAAAACCCTGCTGCCATATCAACTCGTAAAAGTTATTAACGACCCGAGTCGATTGAGTCGCACTCGGTCGGGCTCAACGCAAGTGTTTTAGTCGCCCTTAAGCCTAACGTAGCCGACCGAGCGGCGAGCAGACTATTGGAGCTTGGAGGGGAGCTGGTCGATGCGCAAGGGAGTCTGAGATTGAGTTCTTTTTCCGGCGTCAGTAGGCATGACGTCATGTCGGGTCCACTGGTATTTAAATGTCCTTGCCCTGCCCACAGAACGGTGGCCCCACCCATTACTATTGAATTGGCTTGGCTGCTAGGCTAAACACGTTCGCAAGCCTAATGTTTCCCTGTCGCGCCATCTGGTGCGTCAGATTTGCCGTCTGACACCGGCTGCTAGTCGTGCGGGGAGACACAGGGCAGAATGGGGCCAGGAAGCTTCTGTAGGCGACATGGTGCCCAAAAGGGGTGAGGCCGGGGGAGACTTCCGGGTCGGGGGAACCCGCCTTCAAAGATGTCGAAAACTAAACGACGCTACTGGACTGACTCGGGCACCCTTGGACTTGTGGATGGACTTGGGCACCATTGAGGGCGCTCCCACCGGCCGCGACCTTTACTTCCCGCTTCGCTTAGGATTTTCTCGTCTGGCAGGCTTGAGCTGGTGTGTCGCCTCCTCTTCTACGTACCTTCATGCGGAGCAGTGTACGGCGTCGTCTGATATCAAAACACACTCTACTACCACCACTGGAACGCCCGTAACATTCGGCCATGAAAGCGGCGCGTCCACGTTCGCCATTGCTTGCGTCCGTCCGCTATTACGCACCCCTCTAACGCAGTCTGTGACGCACCTAAGGCGTGATTATGAAACAGCGTGCTAACCTTTCATTACTCAAGATCCGCGGTCTAGTACACGTGTATGTCAGCATCTGTCGATGTGCTGTAAAAAGCGACCGAAATAATTTAAGACCAAAAGCAAAATAAATATGCAGTTCTCTCAGCTTTTTGGTTATATATGTTTTCTTGCATACCGCAGTGATGTTTACAGGAGGCAGAGGGGCGAAATGGGGGAAGGGGGCTGTCGCCACCTCCAAAACCTCTTCGCTCGTGTTTTCTTCTCTTACATTTTTCTGAAGAATGCGGGAGCACTTTTGATCACTGGAAATCGCTATTTGGCTTCGACGATGGGCACCGGGCACACCTCACGGATTATTTAAATGTCCTGTGATCTCACTTTAAATGAAACAATTAGTTGCCGCTTTGAGGTCCTTTTAGTTTAGGCGGCACCATGTGACACGGCGGCGACAGCCGGCATAACCTCCTTTGCACCGTCCGCCGCGACTTTCTCTCAAGGTCCCTCCCGTCGCCTGAATTACAACCCCCCCTTCACCCCCCCGGAACCAATATCAGTAATTCACCCCACCTCTGTTGTACCAGTGTCTGTGACTGTGAGTGGCATAGCGTTCACGAGAAAGGTGGGTGAGTGTCATGACGAACAATTAAAACGCGATCTAAAAATACTCGCCCAGCAAGCCAGATGGACTGCCCAAAACTTGAGTGCAACAGGCATTCTGCAGCGAAATGGCGGAAACATACATGGAAAAATATGATGCGACTCGAACACCCGACTTCTTACCGCGATATGGCTCTCGAATTCTTTCCTGTGCAACTGGGTTACCTCTTATTGCTGAAGCCATGATCGCAATCAGTGGTGGATTCAGATGGGAGGTCCGAAGGACTTGACTGCTCCCCACCACATTGAATTCAGCATGTGTTAAAGTTAAGGGCGCGGAAAAGACGGCGGGAAGGGGGGCGGGGGAGGGAGGTTCACAAATATTTGAAATGGTGATCTGCCCCTCCTCCCCCTTTCGTTCTGGAAACACCTACATCGGCACCTGGTCGCAATCACGACGGTTGGACAATTTCCAGAGTAAAGGTGCTGCTTTCACAGGAACCGACTCATTTATTCAGCTTGAAGACGCGTAAATGAACAAATCAATGTAGGTCAAGCAAATTAGTTCACGTGGGACGCTAGGCTTATTCCAGTCCCGCTACGAAAACAAGGACCCGTACAGCGCTTCCGAAGGCGTGCACTCTCGACAATTGTTTCCGGCAAACTACGACCGTTGAGGATGAGGATATTCTCCGCTAGACACCTTTGTGAACGTGAAACGATTCGCAGTCATAAAAACAGGGCGACTTTAACGAGCTACGCTTGTGCGTGAAACCGCTTGCTGCAAACGCCGGCAGCCATGAATGATATCATTTGAAACCAAAGCCTAAAATACAATCTCATGATATTTTTTTAAAAACAATATTGACATTCTATATATCTACTGCTTGATTCTGAAGCATAAAAACGTCTAATGCAAGACTATCGCGGCATGGGGGAATTAGTTTTACAACGAACAGTCCACACGAGAATCATCTCTCCAACCAATGAAAGTCGAGAAATAGAACGTAGCTAGCTACGTTGATGGGCGTGGTGCGGGCTACCTCAAAGCAAATAGTGCCTGACGTTTTAAATATTACCCGTAAAAAGTTTTACGCAAAAAAAAAAAAAATAATTAAAACAAAATACGTGTTCCAAACAAACTTCATAATAAGTTTTTTTTTTATTTCAGTGTCCCTTAAGTGATTAAAGATTGACGAAACGAAACTGTATATTGACCGCAGTCAGAAGTCCTGGCACCGGGACTTAACCAGACACGCTGCTGCGTGTCATTGATATTTGTCTAGATCAGCGCATCAACGCTTAAATATTATCCTTAGAACATTCAGGCAGTAAAGAAGGCACAGTTCCGCGAAATTACTGACGTGTGCGGCTGAACACGAGCAAGGAGACATTTTGATTCAGCACGACAATGCCCGCCCTAACACCAGCCTCAAAACACAGGAGACAAACGCTCGGACTGTACTGTCCCATCCTTCTATAGTTCTTACTTGATCTATCAGATTTGCAACTTTTTGACCCTCTAAACGATGTCTTGTCGGAAGAAGGTTTCGAAACGACAAGAATGTGATTCGTGGGGTCCTGACATGACTATGTAAAAATAAAACAAGCTGGTACAGGGAAGACACGCATGCCCTTAGCTTGTGCCAGCGTAAAGCCGTAAAGCAGGGCGAAGTTTCTGTAAAAATACAATGTATAGCGGAAATGTGAAGCAATATTTCGTGTATTTTTACCAATTTCTGTGACAGTTCCCTTCCCCCCCCCCCCCCCCCCCCAAAGAAAATAGGAGGCATTACTTTCTGGTAAATACCCGTACAAAGTACCTAACAGTTTTAAGAAACACGAGACGGCAAAAGTATGAAAGTTGGCACAAAGGAAGGTTTATGGGGCTAACTAGGATTTCTAAGAGTTCCTGATATACCTTTCAAAAATTTCTGATGGTACTGAGTGGTACGTCATAGTTCTAAGAAAATGTGCTCTAAGCATTTTTGAAGGGATAGAGGTAAGTCAAATTTTTCCGAGAGGTTTCTGTGGTCTCTCAGGATCTTTCACCGGAAAGCAACGTGACCCATTCAAATATTTTTAACGCGTCTCGGGCCCATCATAATATACGTGTCGAAGAAGCCGTCTTTTCTATTTTGTATTGGACGGCCGTAAGAAAAGCTCGCTCAGAGTCGGCTTGGTGTCCCACATGTGGGATCCATCTGCGAGAGCAGCTCAGTGCGCGGATAAGGGAGGAGGTTCTTCAGTGCCCTGTTTCTTGTGTCGATTGAGCAGTATGGCTTCGAAAGCTCGTCCATCGAGCGAAAAGAAACACCGGGGACGCCGTTGCGACGGCACCCGGCACAGCACCATGACCGTGCTCAGCATTTTTTAAACGGCAGCGGGCGTTGGCTTTACGTTTGTGGTTTTTGTAAAACATGTTACTGAAAGTGAGTTCGTCTGGTGCACCTTCTCAATTGTAAAAGTTTAATTTATTTACATCTCAGGAATTTACCGAGCAGAATTGTGAGCACCTCGAAAGACATTTTTGGCGAAAAAGATCTTGGTTGCCGCGATTTGTCCAGATAGCTTCTCCCTACAGCTGCTTGCGCCCGTGTTGGAGTCCAGGTTGGTTCTATTTTTATTTACGAGTTTGAACATGCATGTAAAAGTAAATGTCAAAAACAAACTCCCAATGCCATTTTAAACACTTTCATTTTCGGTTTATGGCTCAAAATTGTTTGGGCGTCTAAGGAGTTGAAAGGCTAAAGGTTTTGAAAGGTTTAATGTCTGAAGGGTTCGAAGGGTCTGAAGGGCTGAGGGTTTTAAGGAATGAAGGGGTTTGAAGGACTGAAGAAATTTGAAGGGCGGTTATGTCTAGTTCACTGAGGGGTCTTTATGGGATGAAGGGTTGTTTTTACTAGGGTACATAACGTTTGATTAAGCAGATTTTTCGTATTTTGAAAAGTACAATTTTATCCTAGCATTTGAAGTATATTTTTTGCACGAAGTTTAAAATTGATTACAATCTTGCGTTCTGAGGAAGGGCGTCGTTTTATCTTATTCTCTATACCTGCGTGTCTGACTATGAGACTCTCATAATCCTGTAACATGAGAAGTGTTTGGTGTAATATTATGTTTTCCGACAGTATAGTCGAACTCAAATCAGAAGAATCTAGAAACGTCCAGAGAGGAAAAATAATCACTAGATCTACATTTCGAATTATGCTCTGCATAAAACAAACGAAGGAACTACAAGGATATCAACTTCTTCACATTTTAACCACTACAATAAATAACCCCACCGGCCGAAGTTGTCTTCACTCTTGCAAATATCGTAGATAAAACACAGAACGATTTGAAGGCGGAACATACTCGGTATACTTACATTGGAATTTGGTATGAGTAGAGGGGCTCCTGTAGCACTCCAGCATATAACACTTGAAGTAAGAAAGAGAACAAATGCAACCAAAAAAAATCATATCTATTTTGGTAGCGGTTAAACGTTTAGCTAGTATTATTAGAAAGAACACAGATAATTTAGTCAATTTATTTAGATATTTTACTTTAACAAACACTACTACAGGGATAAGGGGAGTGAAGACAGGAAGCAGCAATTAAATCAAGTTTTAGTAGCCATGTTTAAAATACATCCGAAATTGCAAAAAAAGAGGCGGGAATATGGTATAACAATTTGCTGTTAGGTTTATAAGTGTGATTGTGACCAGCTGAGTTATAAGACGGTGCAAGCACAAGTTACGAGCAGTCGAATTGGTGATGCGGTAAAGCATGTGAAAGAAGCAGGGACAACGAGCAAGTGGGAAGGTAGTACAAGTAGCTAAGCTTTTTTCATGTTGGTTTCACTGACCGTAGGAGCATAATATGTATTGCGAGGACGCTTCCGGAAGACAAGGCCACCGCTGGCGTATGTACCGCACCAAAGTTAACTTGGGTCGTTACGTGTTTTCCGTTTTGTGCTTGCGAAAAAGTAGATCTTACACTAAAACCTAACAAGTTGGAAGCTTTATGAATCGTTGAGCATTGGATGAATAAACAAAATACCATGCAGTTTGGTTGTTTTATAACTCTAGCCATGTTTTAGAACAGAGATATAACAGACAACATGAGTAGACGACACCTTTTGTGCTGTCGAGGCCAAGGTAGAAAGCGCGCGACTTCGCTTGTCATTTTATTTTATTTTGTTTTACTTATTTTGTACTCAGGGCCAGGGGAATTACAGAGGAGAGTGGTAGAAATAAACAAAAGAAACAACATAGAACAACAGTAGAACACAACTCAGATAATGGGGAAAATATGGTCACTAACACTGGTATGAAACAGAGCAGGATCAACAATTGATGCATGTGATGAAGGTAACTGATTCTATTCTTTTGTGCCTCTCGGAATAAATGAGTTAAAATATTTATTGTAGCGGCAAGATGGACCGCATACTTTGTGCTGTTGATCTAGACGAGCTGAAAGAAATGATGGTGGGGTAAATAGTTGAATTCTGAGAACCGGGTTGTTGTAGAATATTTTGTGAAAAAGACAAATGCGAGTAATTCTGCGGCGATGTGCGAGGTTGGGTAGAAGTAAAATGTCCTTTTTTGATGTCACGCTTCGGTCCGGTTATAATTAGCCAAAGTAAAACGTGCGGATTTATTCTGAACGGATTTGATTGAGTCAGTAAGGTGGGTAGTACCGGGATCCCAGATGAAGGCTGCATATTCAAGCATAGAGCGTACTAATGTTTTATAAAGAAATAGTTTTAACGAAAAAGGGGCCAGAAAAAAGTTATGTTTAAGAGTTACGTTTAGCGTTATTAATCACGTAAGTCACATACAGGTTCCAGGAAATATCGGAGCTAGGTATCACACCCAGATATTCGTAGGAGTCTACAAGTTCTAATGATGTGTTATTAAGATTATAAGTAGCAGTAAAGGTAGCTTTACGGGTTATGCATATTAGCTTACATTTTTTAATGTTAAGTTCCATTAACCAAAGCTCGCACCATAGCGAGAAAGAATCCAAATCATGCTGCAATTGTTGGGAATCGGAGTCACTAGATATTATTCGGTAGACAGCGCAGTCTTCAGCAAACAATCTTATCGACGAAGAGATCAAGCCCGTCTCGTGTGCTGCAAGAGCGACGGTCACTTTTCTCTATGCTTGGAGAACCAAAATGTGGGACATTGTGAAACTCTACATCGCAAGTGTAGTGTTTAGGACTTTACTCTAGAACGCAAGTGTAGAGTTTAAGACTTACTCAACACCAGCATCGCAAGCATCTAAAGCTACTCTAGTTTTAGGTAACGAAGCCTGCGGTTTGCAGTGTCGTTAACATAGTCAACATGAGAGTTCCAGGATAAATTAGGGGCCTTACCGATGCCAAGGTACTTTTGAGAGAAAACAAACGCCAGAATATTTATAAATGTAATGTGTAGGACGCGCAGTGTTAAAACGGGACACAATTATAGGCTTATATTTAGCAGCATTTCATTTCATCATGCGAGAATCTCAGCAATGAACAACGTAAGAAGGTATGTCCGAGGTTGGTAAATATCAAGCGGTCGAGTTAGATTCCGGTTCATAACACTGTCATTAGCAAAAAATCGAATTGACAGGGAGATATTAGGTACTAGATTGTTCACACCGATTTGATGCAAAAGAAACCATTATTGAGCGTTGCGGTACACCAGAGTCCAGAATGACAAAAAATATTGCTACTATTAGCATTTACAAAATGTAAACAATTAGAAAAAGTTAGACATTCAAGTGAGTACAGGAGGATCTGGGTTTAGGGGCAGTCTGTATAATTTAGTAGAATGTGTGATATTTCATCGGATACCTTGAGGCTTTCAACTGTGAGTCTCGGGCAGTTAGTATGAGAGACACAATTGAGGAAACAATGAAGTTTGAGAGTGAAGGTGAGAAGTTGTATCTCACATGATATTGCCTTTCGGAGCCTATGCTGAAGCGATGTAAAATTGACTGAAATCCAAGAAGCTTACTAAGAGAGCGGAGATGATATCTTTAAGGGTTTTACATACAAGTAGAATGATAGTAAATAAATCGGACGGTAATTGAATGCATCGTATTCGCCTCCTGATTTAGGCAACGTAACCACCTTATCGATGTTTCGGTTGTTGGTATAGTGCCTAATTCTAGAACAAATTACGAAAGAATACCTCTTTCGTGTGATTTAGAAAGGTAGACTTGATAACGTCAACTAGTTACTGTTATTATTGCATAAGCACGTTTGTGATTGTTTATTTATACTATAAGCTATAAGTTCATAAAGCATATGATAATTGGTCCAAATTACGCTGAAAATATATCCTATTTTTACATTTATTATATAATAAAAACCTAAAACAACAAGCATTTAAAATTAAAAACACTGACTGTACTTAGCCAAAATTCACGATCCTTTTTTACTTACTGAAAGAATTTGTTATGGGTTTGTACTCTCCATTCACATCAGCTGCATCTCTTGACCATCTGAAATGTAATTTAAATTGTTACAGTACACGTTCCAGATCAATAATAAATTTGGGTATCCGCATTATTATGTGCGGCTTTCAACTCAGAAACATTCTACAGAGGATCGCGATGGCATTGATGGCTTTTGAAGAGAGCACACAAATTGGTTTTTTAACATGTTGCCTCACGATCTACTGCAGAGGTGTCATAGGACGACTCATTTAACATTTTGAATTGTGATAATATTAGCTCACTTGAGTTAAAATAAAAAAAAGCTTTTCCTAGAGACGAGCCTTAAGCTAAATATTTTTCAAAAAATAAACCACGGGTCAATAGGCCTTTTAATTACCGAAAGACTGGTAAAATAAGATTGAAGGGATTGAATTCATTCCTTATGTTTTAACAAAATGAACCACAACTGGCCCATTAAAATCATTAATTTAAACTATAGACCAACTCTTTTGTGAGTGATATGGATACTCAACCAAACTATGCCAAACAAAAATTTAATCTATTTTATAATTAATATGAAATTGAAACCTATATTAACAAGCATTTCAAATGAAAAACGATGACGGTACTTAGCCAGAACTCATAATGAGTTTTCACTTACTAAAAGAATACGAGCTAGGTTTTTATGTAAACACCTCTGCGCTAAATGGCACCACAACTTGTTAAAACACCGATTAACCCGTTCTCTTTAAAAGGCCAAGTTCCATCGGGGCCATATTTTATTGCATGGTACGGTACATCATCTCCAGCCCTGCCACAGCCACACCTTCCAAATCCACTAACCCAAGAAGTAAAGTATTGCCAGGCGCGTTGCCGAACGAGTGCGTGCGTGGCCTAGTGCTTAGCGTGCTTGTCTGTCGCGCGAAGGATCCGGATTCGGTTGCAGGGAGCGGAATCTTCTTTTATTTATTCTTTCTAATTGGCGTTCTCGTAAGTTCGGGAACGTCCTCGTGCGATGCAGTTACGAATGTTCTACGAGCCGAACGTTCTAGGTCGAATGTTCCAGAGAAACTCGCGGCTACAAAAGGTGCTCCGCGTGGCGAGCCAGTGTCAGTAAGTCTCGCCCCAACGTTCGACTCTGCTGTTACGCCGACTTCGACGCCCGCGATGCTCTGCTGTTACCTTCTCTTTCCCTTTTTTATTTTGGGCACAAATTCGCCTTATTAAACGTTGAAGTCTTCCCAGTTATTCTTTCTTTCACCTCGTCCTTTATGACAGTACCAACGTACGTTTTCGTCTAAAATTAAACCTTAAAATATTGCCTCCCGTTTATATTTTTTTGACAAGTTCAACATTATTCTCTACACTGTTGATAGAGAGCAATGTTCAATTAAACAAGCTGAACTTTGTTTAATTTAAACTGTCATTTAACGTAAAGCAGCCAGTTCCATGATCAACACACACACTAACAGCTCTTTGAGAGACCATTAATATTTAGTATTACCTTTAACGGTAAGACCATGTTGGACACTTTGTTTATAATTCTGATTTATGGCAACGGCATAAAAAGTTAGCTAGCGGGTACACACATATAAGTTTTGTTCATTCCCGTGGGATTTCTTTAAGCCTCAAGATACTTTCACACAAAAAGGCTACCCTGCTGAGAACAGCACTATGAAATATTTCTGAACGCGTTCTGCGACTTCTTCGCTGGACGGTTTGCGCACACAAAGATATTAAATGTCGGCCATTTATTCTGTGTCAATTAGGCAATTCGGCAGACCTCAAAAATTACTTCCTCAATGGGAAGGAGGACGATGCTGCTTTGGTTCGACATGCGTAGCGTATCCCACATTCTTTAAGTCTTGGCAAAAGTTAGCTGAAACGCCCTGCATGTATGGTGGCGCTAAAAAGTATTTTTTTGGTTTTTGTTTAAATAACTCAATGCCACTGAGTGAGTATCTTGTGCCTCACAATGAAGTTTTCATATCGAAGGTGAATGTGATACAAGTGCCCAGTGAAGCTCAATGACTACAGTGCTTTTCGCGTATGGTACTTGTAGTGGGGTAACTTGTAAAAAGCTGATATTGTTAACAAGACTTTGTATAAACCTGAAAAAAGTATATATGTTTTTTTTTTAGAACTAAAACGAAGCATTTGGGGGGGAGGGGGGGCGTATCGTCTTTGATAATCTGTTTGTAGTCTTTCTCGTCTTATATTCTCGTTGCTTTAAATACAAAAAATATCTGCAAATTAAGAAAAAATAACACTTTGTTCTGGACAAACGAGCTGGTATCGAATATACATATATAAGGAAATGAGAGGAGGGAGCACAAAAAAGTGGGCAAACACAACACCGTTTGAAATGAAATCTTTTTGCTCATTGTCTTCTAGTAATTTGTTGTTTTTTGCTGTTTTGCTAGGTACAAAGAAGCACACGTTCTTGCTTTTTCTTAAGTATTGTATTTGCGTCTCCTTTGTTTTGTTAGAATCGGTAACATATATAGCCTAAAGGTTTTTTTGCGAAACAACAATATATCAAAGGACAAATAATGTAGTAATCCCGAATAAAAAAAAGAGATGCTTACTCTTTAGTCTTGTCCACTGATGAAGTTAGTTTTTCCAGATTAATAACCCGATTATTCTCTAGTACAGACTTCACCATTGTAACATAAAGCGATTTCTTCTCATCCAAAGGAGGAACCTATGATGTCAATTGAAGAACCGGATCTGTGTGAATTTATAAACTGTTTCCCAATCAACCCAAGTAGTTCCGTGACGTACCGACTGGATAATATTAAATCAAGTTATTGGGCCTCAAGGCGTCTCTCTTATAGAAAATTAGCAGGTCAGACCTCTACCATGTTTCAAAACCGAACGTCGCAACGTAACAACTCTAAAAAACGTATATTTGTTTGTATTTCCGCTTTTATTTTGCTTAAGTGTACTAGATATCAAGCAATGCTCTATGTTTAGTCTCTTCGTGTTGTTACATTTAAAGTTTTATTTGTTTGTTTAAGAATCTCGATACGGTAGATAGTTTTTTTTTGTAAAAGCAATGTTTAAAAAAAAGTCGAAAGGACCTTTATTGACAAGTGCTGATTGTTGGGCAAGTTGGTATGGTACGTTAGAAAACGTGATTGCGCTTTGAAGACAGGGACATGGGAACAACAGACACCAGAGAGCGCTAACTTTCAACTGATTTAATTCAAGAGCCTCAGCGAAGAAACAAACTGCGTCACCGCACCACATCTCAACCATTCCGTGGCCCCGCCACGGAACGCAAGTACGTTAACTCCTTATCTGCAAGTACGCTAACTCCTTATCCGCAAGTACGCAACCGCAAGTACGCTAACTCCTTATCTCAGAATTCTAAACGAATGATATGCCGTATTTATGGAGCCGTTATTAACTCTGTTTGGAAAGCGATAAACAGTCTTTTTGAAGAGTGCATTCACGCGATGTCAATATCCCTGCTACATTTAGCGGTAAAAGTAAACTGGTGAATTGACGTCATGCAGCCTGCCTGACGTCAATTCCTACAATGAAGTTAACGGACAATTTTAATTTTTGTAGAGGTCACGGGACGCCACTTTGCTCGATCGAAACTTGTCTGCTAAATCTAGCCCGAAACTTAAAGACATTTTAGTCACACCTTGTGGATTTCTCCGCTAGATTTAGAGGGTAGACTGACCGAGAATTGGTGAGACCTGAATTTTAGTGACTTGGAGACTGCGTTGGTGTATAGGTCACGTTAATTTTTCTTCCAAATTTAGCGGGAAATGTACAGACGGACTTACGAAAGAATAAATGTTCGGATTGGGGTATACCGCTAAAAGGCACTTTATACTTTAATACGTTTTTCCACTTTCGCAATCCTGAATGGGATTGCTGCCGACATGTCTCCAGTTAATTGATCCGAGGGAAGTTTGCGATAATATAACCTTCCACCAAACAGTGAAAGAGAATATTGAAAATAAAAGTTCAGAATGCAAATTAAGCCACATAATACTCAAAAAAGCGGAACACTAATAATGCTGAACACTAATTGCCTGTATCAGGCCACCATTTTTTCTGCGGTCGCGTCGATACCGGGAATCTTGGTACGCACTTGTTAGGTTGGCATGAGTGCAAGTTTCACAATATGGTATTTCGATATAAGATGTTTAACAGAGTTACTGACTCTATTTTTCTACTTGGTAGAATTTTATTTTATGTTCCCTAACGGCAAAAACAAATTGACGTCTTTTTTTTTACCCTTTTGACTTAAAATTTGCCCCTTCATTGACACGTATGCAGATAATGCACGACGCGCTTAATAAGCCTGACGTGGAATTCTCCCCCGATCTTGAAAGGCCCCTGAAAAGTTCTCTACTCGCGATTCCTCTCTGGTTATATATATATATATTGTTACGGTGCTGGAAGGAGCGATGGCAACGGGGTGCCCTCCGAACGATAGTTTTAATTCAAAACTGCCCGCTGCAGCGCCTGTGTGCACGAGCCACTGCCAATGGCCTGTCGTTGTCTTCGTCGCCGTCTATGTATCATTACCCCCGCCGTTATTGGCGGTCGTCTCGACCGCATAGTGGAGGGGGAAGTTTGGTGGAGAAAAGGGGTGTTCTAGGGCGAGGGTTTGATTGGGATGATGGTAGGGTTTGATGCGGGTGATGTGAACGGTGTCCTTCGAAGGTGTCCGTCGGTCAGGTGTTGGGTGCAGGAGCTGTACCTGGTAGGTGAGGTCCGACAGCTTGGCAGTGATGCGGTATGGGCCGGCGTACCGGTGAAGGAACTTGGTGGCCTTGCCCTGTTGCCGACGTGGCGTCCAGAGCCACACAAGGTCACCGGCGGTGTAAGACGCAGGTCGATGTGTCTCGTTGTAACGTTGACATTGGCGCTGCTGTGAAGCCATTGTGCGTAGGCGGGCGAGCTATCGCGCCTCTTCGGCACGGCAGACAAGGCGGGCGACAGTGTCCTCTAGCTGTTCATTGTGGTTGTAAGGAAGTAACGCGTCGAGAAGTGTGGTTGGGGATCGATTGTGTAGAAGAAAAAATGGAGTGTAGCCGTGTGTGTCTTGGAGAGCAGTGTTGTAGGCGTAGGTGACGAAGGGAAGTACACTGTCCCAGTTCTGATGATCGGACTGGACGTACATGGAGATCATGTCTGCTATTGTGCGATTGAAGCGTTCCACTAGACCGTTCGTCTGGGGATGGTAAGCTGTAGTAGGTTTATGTACAGTTCCACAGAGGCTTAACAACTGTTGAACCGCTTGGGAGAGGAAGACTGTGCCTCGGTCGCTGATGAGATGCCGAGGAGGTCCGTGCCGCAGAAAAACTTGTTTCAGAAGGAAAGCGGCGACATCTTCAGCATTGGAGGTAGGCAATGGGGACGTCTCGGCATAACGCGACAAGTGGTCAATTGCGACAATACTCCACCGGTTGCCTGATTGCGTAACAGGAAGTGGACCGAAAAGATAAATCCCCACGCGTTCAAATGGATAATGGAGAGGGTGAAGAGGATGTAGGCGTCCGGCGGGCGCGATGGTGGGTCGTTTCCGGCGTTGACATTGTAGACATGATGCAACGCATTTGAAGATATCACGGTACATGCCCTGCCAGTAGAAAGTGTGTCGGACACGCATGTATGTCTTGAAGAACCCCATGTGTCCAGCTGTGGGGTCATCATGCAGAGTACGCAATATGTCGCCACGGAGATGCTTAGGAACAACATACAGGAGTGGCGCACCTTGCGGGTCATAGTTCCGGCGGTATAATATTCCGTGTTCCAATGTGTAGATATTGGTAAGGCGTTTTTCCTTACGTGTCTGAGGACACTTCTGTAAACACTGAAATACTTGGCGGAGGGATTTGTCTTTTTGCTGTTCTACAGCAAAGTCTAAGCTTGAGGTCAAAGCGATTACATTGATGGGCATAGAAGGGAGTGATGGGTCTGAAGCTATCGGATTTCAATGCAAGCAATCAGGTGCTTCATGTTTTCTACCAGATTTATAAAATATAGATACATCGTATTCTTGAAGATTAAGGGCCCATCTGCTGAGCCTTCCCGAGGGATCTTTGAGGTTGGATAACCAGCATAAGGCATGGTGATCTGTAACGACCTTAAAGGGGCGTCCAAATACGTATGGTCTGAACTTGGCAATTGCCCAAATAATCGCGAGACATTCTTTTTCTGTTATTGCATAATTAATTTCAGGTTTAGGTAAAGCACGGCTCGCATAGGCAACGACATGTTCTTTGCCTTCGTGTTTTTGAATGAGGACAGCACCAAGACCGTATCCACTAGCATCAGCGTGTATTTCCACTTCAAAAGAGGGGTTGAAATGGGCCAAGACGGGTTGTGTTGTAAGCGCGGTTTTGAGAGCATGAAATGCACGTTGTTCGCATTGAGACCAAATGAAAGGGACGTTCTTTTTCAGAAGGAGGTGCAGGGGGGCCGATATTTCAGCGAAGCCACGAATGAACCGTCGGAAAGAGGAGCACAGCCCGAAACAAGAGCGCAAAGCCTTTTGATTCGTTGGTGGGGGGAACTGGGAAACTGCGGTTAATTTCTCAGGATCAGGGGATATGCCCTGGGGGCTGACCAAGTGGCCGAGGATCTTAATTTCAGTGTTTCCAAATACGCACTTCTTAGAGTTCAGCTGAAGGCCAGCGTCGCGAAATATTTTCAGCACAGCCGTGAGGCGAGACAAGTGTGTGTGAAAATTGGACGAGAATATTATAACGTCATCTAAATAGCATAAACAAGTTGTCCAACGCAAGCCTCAGAGCAAAGAATCTATCATTCGCTCGAAGGTAGCAGGAGCGTTGCACAATCCGAAGGGCATAACACGGAACTCATAAAGGCCATCAGGAGTAACGAAAGCTGTCTTTTCGCGATCTTTTTCGTCTACGCTGATTTACCAATACCCTGAACGCATATCTATCGAAGAAAAGTAGTTGGCATCGTGTAGGCTATCGAGGGCGTCATCTATGCGTGGAAGAGGGTAAACGTCTTTCTTGGTTATTTTGTTGAGGCGCCTGTAATCAACACAGAATCTCCAGGTGTTATCCTTCTTTTTAAACAGTACCACCGGAGATGACAGGGACTGGATGAATCCTGAATGATATTTTTGCGCAACATGTCACTCACATGATTTTGTATAACTTCGCCTTCTTTGGCAGAAACACGATATGGACGACTGCGTAAAAGCTGGAGGTCTCCCGTTGCAATGGTATGTTGAACAATTGACGTTTGTGTCAGGGGAGTAGGTTGAAAGTCAAAGATATCGAGAAAAGAGCACAGTAGCTTATGAAAGGCGTCACGTTGTGACTCAGGCAAATTGGCGTTAATGGTCTGGCGAAGCAATTTGTGGGCATCGACGGAGTCGGAAATCAAAGGTGCGTTGAACGTCAAGCCGGTATCGCTAACAGCATTGATGTATATGACGTCGTGAAGCGTCGTTGTAGCAATGCATGAACCAGCTGGAAGGATTTGGTAGATGTTTGTCGCGTTTGCTACGAGAACAGTAGATATACAAGAACGCGATCGCGTGAGAGCAAAGGGCAGCGCGAAACCTTTCTGAAAGAAATTTCTAAGTTCGGTTCAAGTAAATAATCGGAGTCTGTAAGGTCTGCAGTTAACTGAATAAGCGCTGCAGTGAAGGGTGAAATTCGAGTGTTGCTTGTTGCACGGAAAGAAACACGGTTG